TTCTAAATGCATTACTATGAAAAAGATCAGGGGACCTTTGATTAAATTCGCAAATTGGTCAGTTTTATGAAAAATGCTTTGGTGGTCATATACAACACATATGCATATCAATAATGCTTACTGACTGTATTTACTGAATGAGCACAGCAGTTGTGCCAACAATTTTCAACTGGTGTGTCTAGTCCTTATCCTGGAGGGGGGTATTTCAGCAAGTTGTCTAGGTCTCTCTTAAACACCAGCACCCCAAGAACCGGGAGAAACACTTAAATTGGTGTTTGTGAACCAATAATGATTCAGGTTGTGAAGAGCTGAAATGAAACCTGTAGACACACCAACTCTCAAAGACCAGACCTGAACATCCCACATTTAAAGTCACAAATGATATGTTCCATTTTCCACCAAAGTCCAAAAGTAAGCCCTTTCAAAGCATCATGATGCAGAGATGCTCAACCTCTCCTTAAAGGTCGCTGTCCAGCAGGGTTAACATGCTGATAAGAAAAAGATCTTGATATAGACCATTTGAAAGCAGAAAAATGTCTAGGGCACCTAGGGTTTGTAGTCAAATCAGACAAACCAAAAAAGGGGCATAATGCCAAATAAAGGCAGAATTTCTTCTGAGTTTTTGCCGTACTGTAAATACAGGAGAAGAAGGTGACCTCACTTGCTATAATTAGAAGTCCTCTTGTAAGTATAGAACTTTTTAGTCTTGAACATACAAGATTACGAGGGGACCTGATCAAATCCTCAAAGGACCGATTAAGTCAAACTAGGGCATTTAGTCAGAATTCACAGTGAAATACAAACGGGAGGGCAGATGTTTTGGTGTAAGAAATTACACAGAATTGCATTAAATACAGAGAACAGCAGGTGCTTCTTATCCCAAGGGTTGTGGGAGTGTGGAACAAGCTACCCCACCATGCTGTTGAAGCCAATACCCCGGATTCTTTCAAGATATAGCTGGAAGAGATCCTGGTGTCAATCAGAAACTAACTCCCAGGCAGGCAGGCGGGGTGAGAGTTCTGTAGGTAGTATAGGTTGTAACCGTTTGCATGTTCTTATTTGTAAAAACCGCTAATGCTGTGCTAAAAAATGTTGGACAGAATATTTGCACTGGAGTTTTCAGCCCACTTTATATAAGGCAAAGAAAATAAACCCAGATGCCTACACCTCCTCTGAGACCTCTGAAGCAGTACAGTATGATTGCACACAACACCAAAACGGTCCCATTTATTATGCAGATAAAAAGAATCCGGCATGAAGCTATAAATGCCAGTTAATACATCTCCCCAGCAGTCTGACGTACCATGGCAGTATTTAACACCCGTGTGGTCTTTAATCCACAAATCACGAATAAGCCATTGAGTACCCCTGTCTGCAATTTCCTCACTGCTGATCACAATGTTCCTTCTGTTCTGTTGTCTGGAAACTGTGTTAAAAGGGAAATGTTGTGGTGCATTTCAAAGAAGCGCCACTGTTGTGTCAGTAGGTGTAGGCCATCCTTTATTCACGACAGCAGCGTCGGCAGGAGTGCATTCTGGAGATGAAAGATATCGCAAATCATCTGCAATGTCCCTGGCTCTTTGAGTAATGGGAAGAATCACAGAGTTCCAGACTGCGAGAACAAAGAGACTCAAACTGTACCGGAAGGATAGCTATCTGAGCTGAAATCCCATTACAGCCCTTCCTTCATAAGTTTGTACAGACCTGACATTATCTGTCTCTTTTCTGAAAGAATTCCACAAGAAAATTATTAAACAGGCAAGGTCCACACCTTAAAAGCCACAAAAGCAATTTGCTCAACTTGTATTGATAGCTGATATTATGGCCGTGATGGTGCAAGATATTTCTCAGAGCATTATCTAAGAGAGGAATCTCTGTGCAGGAGGCTGATACTATTCCTGCCAGGATATAGAACCTGTTACAGGATACCAGGAATCCGTTTACTGCTTAAGATGATCAAAAGGAGTGGAGAGTGAATTGCAGTCTTGTAGTGAATCCTCAATAAGTCACAGACCAGAAAAGGAGCTGAACATTTTTGTTCTGATTTTATTTTTTAATTTGTGATTCAAAGCTGCCAAATACTAAAGACAACACCGACTGATGTCTTTACACAAAGGGTTGTGGGAGTGTGGAGCAAGTCATACAGCCATATTATGAACCTACAAACCAGTTTGCTCCTAAAACCATGATGAACGAATAGGCACAGGAAATGACTGTCCTCTTTTCAGTGTTCTTAAATGTAAGAAGACAGCTCCAATTATTAATTACTAATTTTGCATCAATAAAAATAATGTAATCGTATCTGAACTATAAAACAAGTCTTCTGTGTTACCATACCTACTGTAGCAACCTAGCAACATCAGCTGCTGATTCTAACAACCTACTGCTGTAGTTAGTACATTGTTTAAAGTTTGTTTCTGAGATGCTTGGATTAAAAAAGAAGGAATTTCTAAAGAAGCTTGTTTCTCTATTAATAATTTTCTGTCCTTTCAGTTTTGTGGTCTTAATACAATTACAGTATAGTATGCAATGCTGTGATAACGTCTCATTCGTTCTTTGCAACAGTATGCTCTCACGCAATGACAAGCAGATGTATTAACCCAGTGAGTGTTACCTCTGCAATACAACTACAAAAAGATTAACTAAAACGTGGCTTTATTGCAGATACAGTACATATATTAAAAGTCATGCAACCACGAATTTGAGCAAGAATTTCCAATAATGTTAAAATGATGTGTGAACAGCTACTCGCAATAAGAGAGTTGACAGATGTTTCATTAACCCAGTTGAAAACTTTAACTTTTTTTGTGAATAAGATTCATTCAATAGCTTATTTCTGTTTCTTTATAAATAATGTAAGGCTTGAGAGTTTTCAATAAATATGCTGAGAGGCATTAAAAGCACAAAAAATGAGAATTGGAACCAATAGGATGTGTTGCATTTTTTATGCCTGGCAGTATATAAGTCACAGTGTTTGTATTTGAAAAGGTGTTTGATGTGTGGACTGCAAGCATTTTTCTGAAGGGTTTATGCATATATTCCTCCTGCCAAGGTTTAAAGATGCCTCGCCCTAGGCAGGTATTACTGGCACATTTACTTACTGCAGGAGAAATGTTAGAGGCTTTTCAATGTTTGTTTCTCTCTGTTTTGGGGGCTCTAAATCAAAGGAAGTCAATGATTATCTTCTTGTGTAAACCCAAGCTGAATCTTCAAAAGACTGTGTTCTGTAATTGATTGCATTCAGTATAAAGGGGCTGCCATTTCTCTGCACTCCTTAGCACATTCAGGTAGTGATTAAAGTACTGCTGCTCAGTAGCCCTGGTCATTTCTTTCCAAAGCCATCACAGGATGTTAAAAAAATCTGTAATGTCTAGAAAAAAAACTTCAAATATATTTTATTATTATATTTTTTATAATACAGTATATAGGGGATTATAATGTTAAGAGAAGATTTTACAATATTTTACAGGGAGAAAATGTCCCTGGTCTATGCTTACAACTGATGTACAAGCTTAGTAACTGTATTTTAATCCTTTTAATTTTAAATTGTTGGTACTTTAGTGTATTTTTCTCTGGCTTGCACATACTCATTCACAGTATAAATAGATGTGCCATTAAATATTTTCAAATAAGCTTGTAGCAATGGTTTTTCTGTGTTTTATTTTGCTAGTTACAGAGTAGCATACAGTATGTGCACACTTGATTGTGCTGTATTAAAGTGCATTTTTATCAATGAGCCAAAGACTACCAGTCCCATGCCTTCGTGTTTCTAGTGCTCCAAATAATGCAATCATAGAGGTCAGTGAGCTTCAGCTGTCAGGCAGACCGCAACAACAGTGGCGAAAAGTATGTGAGTCACATCGACTGCTGTCACTCAGGGTGTACAGAACATCTTTAATACTGAGAGGTAAAGTTCAAGGTCCCTCTGTTGTCCAGAGCTCCTGCACACTCAGCCCTGCTGAGGGGAGCAAACTGTGAGAGAGAGAGAAGTGAAGAAACAGATGTGAGTGATTTCTCAGGGGGAAGACAGACTGGAGTCAGCCACAAATTAATCAAAATCGTTATAGGGAAGAAAGCCCAGAACGGCAGACAGATGTGCACAGTTAGCCCAGCTAATACAGTATATGGAATGATGTCATCAAAACATGGATTTCAACACTATTACATTGGTTAATTGCTCCTTAATAATTATCCACTTTGGTCATGCAGGTTAGTGTGTGTGGATAGAGCTTTTCATGGGAGCACTAATACGTTTGCCTACACTTACTCTTAATCCAACAACATTAAAGATAAGCTCACATTCAATACTTTTTGAATGCTTTGCTGACAAATGGGCCTTTGGGGTACAATTACAAAGCAGTTCTGTGGTACAAGCACTGAGCGAACAGGTAAATCAGATATACTGCACAGCCTATGAATGATGCATGATCACTTGGTGTCCACATTTCAGCAAGAGCTGTATAAATCCTTCTGTTTGGCTCATAACCCAAAGGTAATTATAAATGTACAGATTCTGAGGTTTCTGATGTTTTGAAGGAGCTACGGAAGATTTAAAAGAAATGTATAGAGAATCCGAAATGCTTAAGTATTTACCAAAGGTCTCCGATTATCACTTTTCAATGACTCACATCTTACTATTCATCTCTTGCAAACAGATAAAACCACACCCAGAGAAGAGAAGCAATTTTCATTCTGCTGGGCTTTTATGCACAGCACAATATATTTTAGCTTAAACCAGTTACTCGTGTTCTGGCCAGCCAGAAGAATATGTGTTAGCTTTCCTCTTAAATCTGGATTAGAACTGTACCATACAAGAAGGCTCTTAAACACAGTGCAAGGTCATATGGGCAATATTTACTAGCTGTGGGTCAGTGTAGTGGCACCAGTGTGACTTACGGGTCAGGAAGGAAACTTGTTGTTTCTAATGCTTGAGCTGAACTGTCATCTACTGTACCTTCCTCAATGACTATACCAGCTTCCCCGTGTGCCTTCTTTTTCAGGTGGAGCTGCCATGGCCGACCGAAGAGGACTGGACAGCCTCTGGGAAGCACTGGAGTCCAGCTGAGGACTAAGGCGTCTCTGCGACAGGCCCTGGCCTAGCCGGGTGGGAGGCGGACAGCAGACTGTCGCCATGAAGCTGCCCTGTCTGTTCTTCTTCATCTTGCTCTTTGGAGCTGGAGGCCTGGTGCTGTTCATCCACCTGCAGGACCTGTCGGAGATGGTACAGCAGCAGGTGCCAGGTGAGTAGCAGCCCTCATTGTGCTGGCCAGCTCTCTCAAGCAGCTCACTTTGATTATGCTTTGCCGGTGTTACGATACGATAATACTTTATGGTCTGATTTTTCAGAAATTTGTTTTGCATCCAAGCAGCTATGTTTAGCACACAGAAAGACTTATAAAAAAACTATATAACCAGTACAAATAAATATCCAGTACAAACCGTACATAGTCATTAGACACCACTCTTAGGTAAACCCAAAGATTATGGAATCCTCATAGCTTTCCATAACCTGTAATGTTTCTTCTCCACAATCTGCCTAAGCCCCTATAATGGTACACACCCCTCAGTTTTGCACATTCTGTAACCACTCTCTGTACTTGCCCATCAACCAATACTCCTTCATTGTGAGCTTGTTTATTGAGTAGTTTGTTGGAATGTGGTATAAAGGAATTCCTCATTTTGTAACTGTACAGTATGTCTGCATTGAGGGACTCAAAAGTGTCTGTTTGAGGGCCTCAGTTGCTATTCTTCATTCAGAAAATGTGAGGGATCAGAGGAGATACTAACAGCTCGTCTCAATGTACTCGTATTGTAAGCAGTTTGAAAACTCTGCTCAAGTGACATTCCCACTCTCTTAAGAGTACATATTCAAGCTCACCATTTTTGTAGGGTTTCAACATTAAAAATGCGACATTTCTCAGTATTTTTTATAAAGGATTAACTACTGTATGGGATTGCAGCACTTTGCTCAGTCAGTGTCGTTCCACAACTGACAGAACCAGATGACCTGATGCAGGTGTTTCGGATAAATATATAAATGTTTCAACAGCATTACGATGTTATCGCAAGTGGACAGCCAGAATAGGAACTATTAGTCATGTCCTCAGAAGCTACAAATCCATCTTCTGCAATTTAACATCAAAACGCAAAGATTTTATGAGGTAATCTGAGAATTTTATGGTACAACATTGGACAGGAGTTTCAAAGCCTTATGCTTTAGTGGAAATTGGACTTCATAATTTATGAACTACATTCACGAAAGAAGACATGGAAAAGGAAAGTAGAAACAGCTGCTACATTATTGCTATCCACGATTTATTTGACATTAAAAACTCAATATTTCAATATCGATATCTACCATATTAGACTAAGCATGTTTTACATTTAAAGGAAATACCTGAGAAATACATTTGTTTCACTTTTGCACGAAGTGGAAAATGACTTGCTGTTTACAGCACTACAGGCTCCAAGTCGTAAGAGTAGCACACATTAATGTTAACTGTGTTGTAAAAAAGAGCCACATAACGTCAGAAAATCCCAAACCCCAAGGTACTGTAAAGGCATTTGCAATGTATCTGAAGTAAAATTCTGGAACTTTGTTGTTTACTGGTTGAATGTTGGGACATTTCATATTATACAGTTCACCTCTAGGAAAAAAAATGAACGCATTGCATTTTGGAAAAATGAAGAGCACTTAACTTTTTGATTATACAGTATACTGCACAGAGTTTAAGTTGTATGAATCAATTTACAGGCATAGAAACAGGATCCTGTTGTTTCACTTACAGTACATGTACAGTACACAGAAGATACTTAAAGAAGTGAGTTAGCATATGGAAAGTATTCAATTGTGAAAACTGCCTTGTGAAGCAATGATATACAAGCTGATCTGTGAGGAATGCACTTGTGTGGACAAATGATGGCACACGTTGGAGACCACTAACACCACCTGAGCCCACTATAGGACATGTAGTGCATTCCTAGGACTAAACATCTGGAGGACACTGGTGCTGTTAGTGCCCTCTGGTATGTATTGTCATGCTGTCATGAACATGAACGTCTGCCTTTAACAAGGCATTTTTTAAATACGGTAGTAGTTCAGGTGGGTAGCTGCGTCAGCATGCATAGGCTGCAAAGGAACAAGTAATTTTTTAAATACGTCAGCTGTTTATAAACTGCCCGTGTAACTATTTTTTCCTTATGCATTCAGTATTTAGCAGGCTTAATGGGAAACAGAACATGCAATACTTTCCTAGCTTTTGTCTCATTACACACTTTTTGAAAGTGTGACAAGGACACAATCTGCATTTTTTTGAATGACGAGACCCACAGCCTCCCCTTTCTAGCAATACTGGGTTTTAATTAATTTCCCCAAAAGCCATTTCTGTCTGCCTTTCTCTGCTGCTCATCCCATTTGTTTTTGTAAGTCCACAGCCTCTGGTTCCCTGCTGTGGAGAAAATACATACAACAGCACGGTGGCGATTGTCATATTTCACTTTTCACAGGCTCGTGTGAATTTGTGTTTTTTTATTCTAACCTTAATGGAAAAGGCAATGGCAACTCTAAAATCCAACAAAAGAGTTAGCTGTTAGCCTAAGTTAGGCCTAGAGTTAGCCTGAAAGGGCAGTGACATGCAGCAAAGCTCCCCCTCTAGATTTAAAATCTAGTTTCAACTACCAACACCACAGGAAAACATGGTACACTTACTTACATTTCTATCTGAATTTTGTTAATAATTATAAAGCACTAAAGATCAAGGCTTTCTATAATGGAATCAGAGTTCGCTCATGACAAGTGAACTGATGTTGTCTGAGTTGTGGGTTCTCTGCCTAGTCTTCTGTTACCATTAATAATTTAATAGAAATATCTGGTTTCTTTATCCCTTCTCTTGGATGCTCATAATTGCACAGCAATACTGCACAGAAATCCCTATCGGCTCTCCCTGGATACATACAGTAATTAGGTAATGCATGAGGTTTCCAGATAGCAGAGAGCTGATTGGAAATACAGCTGCAGCTGAAACTTAAACTGCTGTTCCTCAGTTAAAGGCAAAGAGCATGAAGCACAATGCTTTTACTTTCATGTGGATGATAAAAAACATCTGACTGTGTTACACAAATTACTAGATCTGTAAACTTACTCTGCATTATGTGTGTTTCAAAAATACTTTAGTTTAGAGCCACAGCTACCTATTCTGCTGTTCCCAAATCAGGCTCTTTGAGATTAATTATCAGGCTTACCCTTTTCATTCTGGCAACTTTTAACCTGCAGAGAGCCCCCCAACACTATACAGCCGTGTTGGTAATCTGTAATTAAGAAAAATATACTGTAAAACATCAGGAAAGGCTCTAGAGCTCATCGTAAGACACGACTAATAAGATCTAAAGAAACAACAATAATGAGTCACAGAATCTGGTTTAAGAAAATAGATCAAATTGGAAAACTTACACAAGTATATAGTGCATATTTAGAAACATTTTACAGTGGGAAGTGTATAGTGGGAACTCCCACCCTTGAATACTAGTTAATAACTAGTCTCGTAATTCAGCATAATGAAGATGTTAATTAAAGCAACTACAGGATGTCACCGTTACCTACTACTGCTCTTGTCACCTACCTAACACTACAAGAGCTCTTTCCAATACTACCCTGGCTCTGTACTCACTGATTAAAGGTCAACTCCATGGTGCATCAACTCAGGAGGGGAGTTTACATATCACAGGCTATGTTGGCTGTAATTACAAAATCCGAAACAAAACCAGATCCTTTTTTAATTATACTATGTCTTGTATAATTACATCAGGTATCATCAGTATACATTTCTACCATTTATTCTGTTCTAACAGCCTTTTTAATTTGATCAAAAAATGTTTTTTTTTTTTATTTAATCCACTCATGAGAGATTTTGAACACTGGGAAACCGAAATAAACTATTTATCTCTTGCAAACCTGCTTACTCCTATATGTCCGACACATGCTGTCCGTAGACATTCATTCTTAGTTTTAAAAAACCTTCATCTGTTTTTGCATGATTTTGAGGGGGTTCGCAGTGGGGTGTTTAGGAGAATCAAAGTGACCTACAGTGACCTTTATTATTATTTCTTGGAAGATTTAGCCGATTCCTGCTTTCATACTGAATCTTCACAGTTTAGTCCCTTATAATAGTCCGCTTTTGTATATTAAAAAAGCACAGTGAGGTTTGGAGTGCTCCATCTAACATTGGTGTGATTTAGTATATTCAATTGATTGTGTTCTGTACAATGTGTTTGAAAATTCACATCACATAACAACAGTTATTTACAAATAACTAACAATAGGTACAGTAATAAGGCAAAATACGACCAGAGCTGAACTAGCCAATCAAAGGCAATGCATGGTGGCAAAATAACAGGAAATTGTAAAAATACCTTGCAAATTTGCTATTAAAGTTACAGGAACATTTAGATCTGTAGTTTAAATGTTCCTGTAACTTTAATACTAGACTAAACCATTACTTTTATGAGCATTCCTATAGTATCAGTCAGGAAGAAATGTATTTTGTTTTTAAAGTTTTAAAGTAAATGATCCAGTGATGATTGGGCTTGTAAGTAAACACCAAACACTTTAGGAATAAAACTAAACAAAGATATACTGTATACTGTATATACAGTGTATAGGCTTTGGGAATACTGTGAAAATGTTCACCTAGTGGTGAAAAGCAGTACTCCAGGGATGGGATGCTCTTCAGCTCCTTTTCAGCACCTTCTCAGTAAAAATGGTTATGTACATACCTGCAGTTTCCTTCTGGTAAAGTGTAACAGAGTGAATGTTTGTCAACAGAAAGGCAATGGTGCCTTGTTGTCAGTGAGAGACAGCGTGCTAACCTCTTAAAGTAATGCTTACATTAGTTTGCTTTAATAAAGTACTTCTGACAGCAGCTGTTTGTGTTGATTTGTTAGTACCCATTTATTCCTTCCCACACCTCACACACTGACCTAATTGGAATGCGGCACTGAAAAAGCAATATCAAAGTAATTTTCCACAACATTAGGTGCAATTTACTTCTGATCTTTGGAATGAAACAATCCTATCCCTTTGGCTTCTGCGAGCACATAAACCTTGATTACATTCATGTACCGGGCAGTCATGCCAGCAGCTCTCGCGGTTCGCTCTGTCCCCATCTCCCCGTGCACATGCGATGGCAGCCCATTGTGCAGCTCATGCTCTTCTACGCCCTGGAAGAAAAAGCGATACCTAATGAAGCAGGAGGAATGCATTAGAGCTGTAATAGTGACCATCTGGGTGGATCTGAGGCCTGGGCCCTGACACTACACCTGTACTTTTAACCCACTTGTTTTTCCTCCACTACTTGACTCCTACTGATAAAGCCCAGACAAACCCTGACTCAAAATGCTTTCCTTTCCTGATTTTCCTGTTATTAGTGTTTTTGTCCGGATCCTCTTCTTTTCCCCTAGAGACACGGTGTACCTCATTTTCTTCCTGTTGTCTTTTTCTGACTTCCACCATATCTCTTTCCTCACAGAATATGTCATAGGACTGTTAAATGTTTTGCAGTTTATTCTTGTTCTGCTTTCCACAGGAAAAGAAAGATGTTTTTAAAGCAGGGAAATTGTATGTCACAGAAGCACTGTGCTCTGGAGCTCCTGGGTGAAGCATTGAACACTTAAACCAAAGCAACACCACCAGTAATTAGCGTGATGCTTTGCTCGCTTGTAGCAAAACAGAGGACAGCCAAGAACACACACACTATAATAAAAAAACAAACAAGGAAAATGAAATGAGATTCAGAGGAAAACATAATCCTTTGATCTCTACTTTCAGAAAACTTTTAGAAGGGTGGAAACATTTTATTTTGTTTTCGACAAACAGGCAGCACAAAGCGTTCATTGGAGTTGAGACAGGAGTGTCTCCCGAGGCAGCAGGTGTATCAGAAGCTGTCACAGTGATCTTAATATCAAGGGAGCACACTGCACTGTGTAAAAAAGGCAGTAAAGAAATCAATACGGGATGGTATTTGTGTGCCATATGGATCCAGCTGAGAAGCAGCTTTTTAAAAACCTCTTTGAAGCTTTCTATCACAGTCCTTTTTCCCTCAAATCCATGCTATGCTGTGAAACTTCAAGCCCTATGGTTAGAGGCTCTGAGAGCACCTGCTGTAACAAGTCACCGATAGTACAACTGAATATCTATTGCTGCTACTCGACAAGTCCTTCAGAATTCTTATTTCATAACTAATACGACTCAGGCTCATTTGTATTTGCCACAGAAGGTGGTTCGTTTTTGTAATTTCCTACATTCCTGTTTATTGTTCTTGTGAGTGGTTTAACACACAGAAGGCCTGCATTTCAGTGCTTACTGTTTACTTACTAGGTGCATTAACACTTGAACAATAATCCGCTTTGAATGGTGATGAAAGGCTGAATTATGAGCCCAGAAATGCGTGACAGTGCCTTCTGCACCTGTGCAGCGAAAGCAAGATACAGTATCCAAGAGAAATTCTGAGCTGGGGTAAACTGTGCAGTTGCTGTGAGGTGCCATTCTTTACATTACATGAACACATTCCATTGTTTTGTTGGACATCTGAAATTGCCTACCACATCTCATGAGCTAGGGTAAATCACCCAAATACCCCTTACAAAATTTGGCAACAGTTTTTAGATACTGCAGGGTAAGCCTTAGTTATCTGAGTTTCCAGAGCAGGCAATCAGTGGAATTCAAAAAAGGAAAGACAGGGACAAAACACAATGCATGATCCAGAAGACCATTCCTGAAGCTGGCAAATGACTCCGTGTAAATAATTTATGTACAAAATTGTTGACCAGCCTTGAGAGTAAAATTTTAATTTCTGTTGTACACTGGAAAATTATGGCATCCAATTATCCTTTTTAATTAAAGCAAATGAGGGAGAGAGTAAAAGACCCCAGTCCCTAAGCTTTGTCTTTCAGATTGCTGATCATAAGTGCTTTATATTGTCCTAGAAATCTGCAGCTTATTAAATATGACAAGGTCCTGGCTGTTACCATCCCCAGTCATTTCCTAATCTGTCCTGCACTGTTCTCAGCTGTCTCCAAATAAAAAAGCTGACGCCATGGGACGACCAATTAATCAAGTGTGGATCAGTTTATCGGAGGCCTCTAATGAACAGTAGCATGAAAATAATTGTCAAAATGCCGTGAGCTGCAGCACTCTGGTTAGCAATGTAGACATCGCAAGCTGTATTAACAGTCAATACACACTCATAAAGGACAATTCCAAGTAGCACAATACAGAACTTTTATTTTGTTACCACTTGTGCAAGGGTTCTATTCCTGACGTCTTGTAACACAGCCCAGATTTATCTGCAGGCTCTCCCAGCTCGGCTCACCAGTAACCCAGAAAGGCAAATCTTCACTGTGGTGGAAAACAGTTTGTACAGGTCTTATAATTACTGTACCACTCCTATCTTTGGGGCTGAATGGGTAACTAAAGGCAGGGATTATACAACTGCTGTGATGTAAGTTGTGCTTCGCCCCTTCTGTCAATCTGTAGTTGTTTTGCTCCTGTCAGAACATTTTTCCTCACCATTGTGCTCCCTTCAAAACAGAGTCCTGAAATGAGCATGAGTAGGCCTGCTTTCTTACTGCACCCCAGCAGGAAGCAGACAGACGGAGAAAGCCTGCCAGGCAAAATCTCTTATATAACCACTGCTTACTTCTGTCTCCTGGTTTCGTGGCACATACAGAATGTTCCAGGAACTGAAAGCCAAATTTCTGCAGACTGGGAAATTGGGAAAGTGATTCAAAGAATTTGCAGAACCATTTAAATCTACAAAAGTGAGATCTTCTTTATGTGCCTGGTCTCCAGTACAATGTCCCCAATTTCTATTTTAGAAATTATGTGTTCAGATGCTAAAGAACTTACACCATGGGAAGAACCAGAGACTGCTCCTGCCTCCTCCCCACTACTTTATACAGTACGGTACCTGCCAATTAAAACAGCTATCTTCAAGCCCTTTCGTTCTGCTGTCTTGATTCTTAATACAAGGCAATCTCATATCATCAGACATTTTATTACACATAATTAACGCAAGTAAAAAAGTAGTTGATGAACAGTTAATGATCTAGAACAACAAATTCAGTCAGATTTTGATAAATTATTCATCTAACAAGCCAATATTAAAACTTAACGCTTAAACATTTATAGCAGATTATCAACAGGGATTCATATACTACCGAGTGCACTAATCTTTATTAGCCCAGGACCCAATATTATATAAAGCTTACTTCAACCTTATCTAAAACCTCCAAGATGACTTCATTAACCAGTGTTGGTGTAATTAGAAGACAGAATGGCAGCAATATATGAGAAACAGTATTAGGTCAGTGTCAGAACTCAGTCATGACCTTTTTTAACAGTACTGAAGTAAAAAAATAATCAACCAAATCACTTTTTCATTACAGTTAATTAGATTTCCAATATGAGTCTTAAAAGTGAATCATGCAGTAGTAAAAGTGATGAAGAAAGAAAAAAAGGCTTTTTATTTGCATGAAATGTAAGTCAAGTAATGGGACTTGAAATGAGATGGTGTTGCGTTATTGGTGAATCAGTGTCTGGACTATGTTAAAAGGCTAACTTTAATTTTCCAAGTTTTTATTTCAAGGGCAGATGCAGCTTAAATCTTACTAAAAGAAAATAAAAGACCCCTAACCAGTTACTTTAACTGTAATAAAGGTAACTGTACATCATCACCCTTGTTTATTTATTTCTTTAGATCTGCATATCCTCTTTAGTGCTGGATCCAGCTTGTTTTAACAGCAACAGGAAGTGCACACATGCTTATCTACTGTAAGTCATTGCATTGCGACACAAATCAATCGCTCTATACTTTCACACCAATAACCAATCGTTGCACTGGTGTGTTGAAGTGCATGTTTATTGCATGTCAGGAATTGTTCAACACTGATTTTCTGAAGGTGTTTCTGTCTGTAGACTGATAACAGACAAATAAGTATAATGCAACTATTAAAAACTACATATCTTATCTCTCTTGCACTTATTTCAGTACATTTCATTCTTTCAGCACAATACTGTAAGTAAAATTTGGTATATGCCAATATCATTCCAAAAAACTCCATGAACAGCATTAAATCTGCTGTTGTGTTGGTGTGGATTCCTGTGAGACACTGATGCACCTTTTCATTTCAATGCTCTTTTATTTTGGACAGCTGGTCTGTTTGATCTGTTTCCGATTTTGCAATTATAAACTCACCTTAGTGTTAGATACTTATCACGAGTAAAACAATGACAAGTGACCCCTTTGTTCTAAATAATTAAGATGACTCTCCCTGTTCTCCCTTAGTTGATCATGTCTGCATTGTTTTAATACCAAAATTGGCTGTAAAAAAAGTATTGCAAATGTATCATGCTTGCAGTTACAGATGAAATTCCAGTCTGTGCTCTAATTGGATCGTGAGCAATTCTAAATGGATTCCAGTGAGCTTAGGAATTGAGTGAGCCTAGTAATAGGTTTAGTATCCAGCGTAAGTGCCACTTTGAACACAAAGTATGGTTTATAACCATTTGTGCTCAACATTTTCTATCTTATATCTGCCACTTGTGCTGAAAAATTGCTCTGATTTTCATTTTAATCCCATAATGTGTAATACAATATCTGATAGCTTAAATAAAATAGAACACTTACCACCTGCCCACCACAGGCTTGGTGGATAATATGCACACAAAATATTAAGAACCTCTGGTCACATGAATTCTCAGGTACGGAATGTTTGGTTGGCCTGAGGAACAAACAGTAAGATAAACTTCCATCACTTTCCCTGAACACTGAATTGGATGAAGCAGTTTGAAAAAGGAAGGATATGTAAAATCCCATTCTCTTCAATTACTTTGTTAATTAATAGGCTGGAAATGCCATTAATGGATTTACTCTAACCATGATAGTCTACTATTTTAGAAATTATGTTTTCTATAGTTGTGTTTTATCATGTTAAAAGGGAGCAGTTAACCCAAAACAGAGATGACAATGCACTTAAAGTAATTACTGTATCCAAACATTCACCTATAGGCTTGTTAAAAACAGCTTGCATGGTCCTTTAATCTGATCAATTCCACAGTGATGGGAAGTTAGCAGTACTCAAATTCTTCTCATGAATAATTACATATTCAGACTAAGAACTAATACCAGCACAGTGACTTTCTATAAGGGTTGTTTTAAAGA